GGTTTGTTAGGTCCATGTGGGGATACGTGCAAATTTGCGGTTCCACATTTTGCGTTTTACAGTTTTTATGGGCGTTTTTTACCACTACTTAGCGTCCCTGTTTGTGTATTTTCACCAAATTTGACATGAAGGTTTGTTAGGTCCATGTGGGGATACGTGCAAATTTGCGGTTCCACATTTTGCGTTTTACAGTTTTTATGGGCGTTTTTTACAATTACATATAATGGAAGCAACTTTCATGTCCCAAGATAACCTTTCATTAATCATAAATTTACATAACTTCCGTTTAGGGGACGGGTACTCCAGCTAGTAAACAATATACTGGCTACTTTATTGAAACCATGCCAGTGTTTTGTAAACCCCTAGCAATACAGTGCTTATATAAAACAATATTGATACCATTTATACAGTATTTCACAAGTATAACATAAACCTCGGGACTGAAATAATATCTTATGTTTAGAGGACAGCTTATCATTTTCAGCGTTTAATTATAAAACAGGTAAACAAATAAAACAGACAACAAATTACTCACAAACAATAATTTTATTACAGATAAACTGGGTCAATCAGATATGACAATATATATAATTACTAAGTTCTAAATAATACTGTGTGTGTGTGTGTGTGAGTGTGTAAAACGTATCTACTGTATAATGTAGCAGTTTATATCCATATGAAGTATCATTTGTAATTTAAATAATATGCGAGTTTTAAGTTAAAGCCTAATCAGTTTATAACACCTATCAGATAGTTCTTCTATAGGCTTAAGTCAAAACTGTGTGAAAATATGCTTTACAAAATTAATCTATTACTTTCGACAGCATTAAATAATTCATTTCTTACTTTTAACTACTTCTTAAACTTTTCTATCCGAAGTTTATATCCTAATGTTACAAATGCTTAATATATTTAATCGAGTAATAATTTCTTTACCGAATACACCTTTTAAAATGCCACAATGAAATTGCAATAACCCAGACGTATTTTTAAAATGAGGAAACTTAATACACGAACTTGTATGCATGCAATAAAATTATTTTCGTTCAACCTCAAATGTGAAAGAGTCCAAGGAAATACACTTCTTACAAATGTGAAAGAGTCCAAGGAAATAATACACTTCTTACAAATGTGAAAGAGTCCAAGGAAATACACTTCTTACAAATGTGAAAGAGTCCAAGGAAATACACTTCTTACAAGCCTCACAATAAATAATCTAAACTATGGTCCTATACCCCAATAAACACTTTGTAAAAAGAATACAGAAAAAATATATAAATGATTACTTTATTTCCATATCTAAAAATCAATAACCCATTTTCAATTTGTAAAAAACTAAACAATGAAGTTTATAACTTATAAAATCACAAAATATCAGGCAAAAATCGCAGCTATAGACTTTTTTTTTAAATAAGAAATATCAATAGTAGTAACTGAATTTTACAATAAATATTTTTAACTTGCACAAAAGGAGTATATCATTTAATAAAAAAAATTCAATTAAAACAATACAACATCTTGAACAAAAGAAAATTAACGAATTTCTATATAATTTATTCGACATCAGATCACTGAGAATAGGGGAGCAACACATACAATAGTTTTTAGTAATTAAACCCTTTATTTTCCGATTCTTACTAAATGCTTTTAACATTCATAGAAACATTATTATAAGTCTTAAACTGTTTATGTAAAATACAAAATTTTCATCAGTTGCTGACGAAAACAAAACAAAAACTAATGAGCTTAGAGAGATATAACTAAACCTATGGGCGGAGAGATTTCATTGTTTATCATGTCAAAGCCTTCCATAATATTTTATTTCACAAAGTTATTTAAAGGTCACGCCCCATGTAATAGTACATAGAACATATTTATCTGGAGCATCATAAACGATTTATTTGTTGCCCACCACCCGAAAAACACAGATCTACTTTGCAGTCGGTGGCAGCACATAAAACATTTCACTTACTATAGTTCACCTCTTTTCCGTGTACTCTTACATATTGGATGACTTTTGAATAACTCTGTACACTGATAAAGCCAAAACTCTGAATTCCAACTGAAGTTGCTCAAATATACCCATTCATGAGTATGTTGGATTCGTAGTCACCGTTAATAGGCGACTCTACAACGGGCTTATATTTGGTTTCTTTGCTGACGTGTTCTAAATCCGCATCTTCCTCTTGAGTGCACCACCTCAATCGAATTTTCTGTATTACGTACAATATCATTAGAGGAATAGGCATCACGATAGAAGCAGCAACAGGCACGACAGAAGCCAGATCAGAGTCCGGGTGCTCTAAGGAGAAGCCAAGGAGAACAATAGAGATTCCAGAATTTTGCACCCCAGTTTCAACAGCAATAGCTATAACATCTTCAACTGGTCTGCCAATCAAACGAGCAAAAAGGGCCCCAAAGAAGAATCCAAACCAGACATTGACAAGAGCTGATACTACCGTTTGCCAAGTGAAGAGTTTGAACATGTAAAGATTTGCGTAAGTTCCAAATGCTACAATATAAATAATCATTACAACGCAGGCCGGAACAAGGATACGGCGTCCACACTTAGCCACTTTGGGGAGATACCTTTGGATCAAAAGTCCGATCCCTAGAGGTATCACCATGCTAATCAGAGATATGAAAATATTTTTAAATGGTATCTTGCTAGTTCCACTGAAGAGCGTCTTTCCGAGAGTGAAAATCCACAGGGGCATCATGGCTGAAAGAATAATGAGTATTGTAAACATTAAAACAACTGTTAACACACGATTGTTCTAAACAAATTTAGTCCTCTAACAGCATATATTTTTTTTCTTCAAAAACATCATTGTTTTCCAGTGCATATATTAATACTACTGTTGTAACGTATTCTATAGTTGGGCAGGTTCTTTCGGATTATTTGGTAAAAATAATGCCATGTCCAATCCATAACGATGACGAATTCGTTTATTTCTTCCATAACGTTTGCTTCAGCTTAAGTTCACTTTAAAACATGTTATACTCCTAAGTAAAAATAAAACTTTTCAACAAATTCCTCGCTAATGGTATACGTAACTCACAATTTCACAAATAAATATACTTAAAGAATTCCATTTCTAATCAATTCAATAACTGAATAAACATAATAACTCTTACTAATAACAATGATCTGAAACAATCAACGATTGTTATTAAATTCTTAATGACCTCATTAGATGTTAATTGAATACCTTATACCTTATTTACTCAAACTACAAATCCTTATTTTTGACTCCACCAAATGTAATTCTAGGGAACGGCATGGAGCCAAAATAGAGGTTTGTAGTTTGTTATAATGCGTACAGTATCTTCAGTCTTGTTTGCTTAATTTTTTTACGGTCCCTATTTGCAGGTTTTTTAAATTACCAATTTGTTATTAATATTGTGATAATAAACATAGTTAACAACTAGCTGATACGGTCCATGGTAATTTACTGTAGCTACTGGCTACTTGATCACATCAGTTCGAGATGTAAAATGTTAAGCTGCAGCTGGAGATTGTCATGGAGATTTGTTTGAAAATATAGTGACCATTTATAGTTTCTGTGTAACTAAATTATACATATATATAATGCAATAGCAATGGGTAAACATATGTCTAAAGTAAAACACAATCCCCACTAAGCGCTTATAAAATTTTACAAGTACATCTACGTCTCAAACATCGCTTTAAACAAACCTTCGTGTCTTTTAAAGTAATTATCTTACGAATATGTGAAATAAAATTTAATATTATGTGTATTGCTTTTTTTTTACTCCTTTACTTCATACATAATATAGGGGTTGGCTCTCTAAAGACACCGATTGTATAGTGTACAAAGTATTGAGTACTGATGTCCATCTATTACTGGCTGGTCGTTCCCGTTTCACACTGTACTTAAGCTTTTTAAAGGATCGCCAGATATTTGTAGAAAAGCTAACTTCAAGGGGTAATGATAACATCGTTTGCACTAGAATTATGATGTTTTTTAGCTTATGTAAAATATAGTAGAAATAAATCGGCTTTTCAATACCCCTACGACCTTCGAAGTAGCTTATTTAGTATTCTACAAAAGGTTTGGGTGTTATATACCAAGCCGTTTTTGTTTTAGACTGGCAAGAGAATCTTATTATAATGGGGTTTGCGATGTATACGTCCAAAACTCGGATCTTTTTATAACTTTATTTTTATTTTTATAACTAGGCAGTATTTTTATAGTTGAGTAATAAATAAAACATTTGAAATTTCCACAAAAATGATATGTTTCAGATTTAACTAATAAATATTACAAAAAAATGAGTAAGTTTCAAATATAAAACAATCAAAAAACAAACTTAAACAAATTATTTGTTTTTCTTTAGTGAAAATCTCATTACTGTTGCAACAGAAAAGCAAGGCACTTTCATTGATAACTGTGTCTACAAAGAAATACTTCAATAAAATCTACCCTGTGACGTAATGCTGTGATGATAGCTCATTTTTAAACTAAAATTTCAATAAAATCCTTTTTCTCATGGATGGTGAACATTTTGAATGTCAAGTATAAGTACGTTGTTGTAGAACTGTCAGACAATTCCAGAAAAGGCCACAGGCCCAATAGCCTTCCGCTGGAACTAGCAATTATACCTGCCTGGAGGGCGGTATTTCTACTTGTAATAATAACAATAATAAGAAGAATTACAAATGAGCCTCGTAAGTCTAACATGTGTATTTTTGTTTTGTTGTGTGTGTGTGTGTGTGTCTGCATTTATATACGTGTACAGCCTCAGAAGCCAATACTAAAGGTTTTAAAAGAGTTGTTTGAACTGAATCTTTACTGTTTAAGGTGCTTTTTCCCGAACATTCTATTAGGGTTTCGTCCAGTTCCTCGCGATCCCTCTTATTAACCACTCTCGTAGTTCATGATAAGTTATTAACAGAATACCGTTAACATTGTGTCATTTATAATTTCACTTTGAAAATGTTCAGATAGTTTAACCATTTTCGCGAAGGAATTAAAAGACGCAAAACTGAAAGTGTACAATTTATCATCATTCAATATATTGTAACTTTTCTAGGTGCATTGCACTTTATGTTAATGTTACCATGTTTTATGTACTGAAATAAACGTTCAAATTAAATGGTACAGCGCGTGTTCGAAATACCTAAACCCGATAACAAAATTAAGAAAAAAAGCAAGGAAACCTAACATTTAACGTCAGTGTATATAGTCTTTACGAATTGTTGAAAACACACCTATATAAATAACATGGTATTACACATGGGTCAGTAAATTCAGAACCAGTTTAAATGTTAGTATAACGTAGGCATTAGAACTAGTTTAGAACAGGCCTTCCCGGGCCTTAGGCGATATCCGTCTTCTACAGTTACTGGCACAACACGGAACAGTGATCAGATCAACTACTACCACGAACTTTATGAGTTACACCGCAAGACACCCAATTAAATGAAGCAGTGAAAAAACAACAACAAAGGCTTGTTTTCAAAGTTAATTTCATGAAAAAATAAGTTTTCCATTCTTCTCTTACTTTTAGAAAACAAGTAAAACAGATCCTGGTCAATATTTTAACAAAATAAGCGCTTAAAAACACCAAGAACAAACGGAGAGGTAATTAATCGATAGCAGATTAGACAAAGATAATTAATATTGAATTTTGTTTGTAAACATGTCGACTGACAGTACAGAAACCACTTCCATTATAGTTTTTTTATTAGTTTGACAATAAAAATAAAAAACTTGGATGTATTTGTGGACATTAACTAGTTTAATATTAAAGTATGTTACACAAAAGCGCTTATCTGCTCAACTATACAATTGATAACAACAAAATTAACCACCCGCGAACACTGAGGTGAATTTAGTATCTCGTTTAAAATGTCCTCTACGTGCAATACAACTTAATATTACTGAGAACGTCATTCTTATCATTTATTACAACTTAACAAGTATAGTATACAACATTCACGATTCTATAAACACAATGTTTATACATTATAATTTATGTTTTATTTAAATAAGCAACTTCGTTTTCCCTTTTAATATTTATTTTACATATTGTAAAGTTTAATAATTACTTGATTTTCTGTTATTGCAAAATTATCAAATGGCTTAAAAACGTAAATTAATTGATTTCAGGGCTTAGACTTGTAATTAATTCCTTATAAATATGCAATAAATGATACGTAAAACGTGTGATGAACTTTCGAACGATTTACTCGCAAAACTACAGTCTTAAGTTGTATATTACGCACGAGGATTTACTTATAGAATCCAAGTGTCTAGGCCTACGAAAGTTAAAAATGATTTCTTAAAAACTTTTTTTTTTCTCTTCTACGTAAGCCCATTGAGCATATTTCCAATTTACAAAACAAAATTAAAGGTGTTAGTTCAAATGACGTAGTATGTGTATAAAGTAAGGTATGATTATATGGCATTAATAAAAAATGTTGGATTGTTGGAATGGGTTCAAAGGAGGGTTACTAGGATGATACGTGGGTTGTAGAGGTTGTTTTATCTTGAATAAAGAAAGAGAATCTTTATTGAGGTGTTCAAGATTATTAAAAGAAATTAGAATATCGATGCATCAACTTTTTCCGAATTTAATGACAAGAATGGTAGGACAAGGAGACAAATATACATTTTGGATGAGTAATGGTAATTTTCAGCTTACAGTTTTAACTTTCCTAACAGGGTGGTTAATGTTGGAATGAGTTGCTTTCAGACGTGGTGAATGCAGTAAATGTAAGAGTTGATGGTATTTTTTTAAGGTTCGATAAATATTTGGATTTGTTTTTGTTTTATCAGTGGATAGGACAGCATCGGTGTTTATTATGCTCGGTAAAGGTTATTATTATTTCCGTACACCATGTTATATTAAACAATCAATATGAATTCAATTTTCAAAAACACCTCACCTAAAGAAGCAAGAGTACTTAAAAAAGTCATAGTAACGCTGAGGCTGAGATTTCCTTCAAGCAATACAGTCCACATGTTGCTAGCACCACCGCCTGGGCTACAACCAAATACAAATAAACCTAGCTGGAGGATGGGCGAAGTAAACAAGAGTTGACCGATTCCATAGGCTATCTGCAATGCAAAAATTAAATACAACTATTTCAGTCTCGCTTCTTTGTACATATCTTACAAAGAATTCGCATGTAGATTACATAAAAAACTATATATATCAGTATTCAGAAAATATAATAAATTATTTCTTTATAACTTCTAATTATAGTAAAATCGTAAACTGAAGTTATCATAAACATGTAATGAATACATCATTTCACTCGTGACATGTCTAAATGTTTACGTTTTTTTGTCTTACCAATGTTTAATATTGACCATTTTTTTAAAACGTCAGGTCTTATGATAAATTAGTCTTTATTCAATCAACCGACTTCCTATGGTCAGGTGGTTAGGGCGCTTGACTCGCAAGCTGAGGTTCGTGGGTTCAAATCTCTATCCCACCAAACAGCTGTGGGGGAATTAAAAAGTGATGGTTAATCCCACTATTCGCTGATTTGCTTGTGTATGTAACTGTGTAGAGAAAACTGAGTACTAACTGATTCACAACATTTGGGTTCCCACAAGTTAACACTTAATAACTGAAAAACCGCTATCTTTGTGAGCAAACCCCTAATGACGCTGGGGTTTCACGGAACACAGTTTGAGAGTTTCCATAGTGAGATAAAGTTTTTACACTATAGTATTTGAATTTCGATTTAATGGCGTTTTAATTCAACCATTTTTTTTTAAATAAAACTATATAATATACATAACGCAGACTTTGTTGAAGCTTCTGCATTTTCATTTAGAATTAAAAGAAAATGGATTATATAAAACTCAACTAGAAACACACGGGCACACTCATTTTGCAATAAAACATTTACGAAATTCTAGGTTTTAACTTGAAGATTTATAAGTTATAATTGATTTTAGTTTTGTCCACAATTTATGAAAACAGCCCAACAAAATACTTACCAAAGGCATTAATATATACTGACAGCCAAATCCCACAGCTGGAGCAACAGGTTTCTTTAAAACATCTTTAATGACGTTTAGATCCAAAGCACAACCCATACTGACATAGCTTAGAGAAACTAACGTTGCTACAGACGCAATGAAAACCGTGATCAACTTGTTTTCCTTCCGGATAACGCTAACTTTCAACGGATTTGACTTCTCAGTTTCATTACCTGTTTTTGACAGAGCCATAACTTGGACACCAGTATGCCCTAGAAATTTACCTTCTAATTTAAAAGTTTCATTGAATGTTTCTCCATAAGTTCCACGTCCTTGAAGCTCGGTCACGTTAAAAAATTTGTTTGTTACAATATCAGCAACACGAAAGTCGGTCACCAATAGCTGGTAGTAGCTGTGATTTGTTGGTTTTGGGTCGATCACTGAGAAGCTCACATTTCTCTGATCGCCTTCTTTCAACTTTTCTATGCTTTCTGGTACAAAGGTTACCGTAAGAGCAGCAGTTAATTCTAATAAAAACAGCAATAAGCTGAAAATCATTGCAAGTAATACAACAGGGCACATGGTGAACGATGATATATGCAGACTCTATCCTACTACACTTATCGTTCCTTAGTCAGCCGCTTCACTACAGCCGCCAAGCTCACCTCGAGCTGTAAAACGTGAACTTTTCATGAACTGGTTCTGACGTCATAATTACGTCCAAGCTCCGCCTGCTACTTGTTGAAGTGCCAACTTTTCCTTGAAAAACGAGGATATCTAACGAGAGAGCATTTTGGCATACAACGTAGATTTAAATATGTAAGATATCTATATCTGTTGAAATTTAAATAAAATGATAAGAATGGGGATAAAATGTTTTCATAAATATAAAAAACTTCTCAGTCATGGTGAATATTTAATAATTGTTTGTTTCTTTTACAGCAAAACCACATTGGGCTATCTGCTGTGTCCACCGCGGAGAATACAACCCTGGATTTTAGCGTTGCAAGTCAGCAGATTTAATCATTTTAGATAATTAATTATTTATTTAACTAAATTGTGTGGCCCAGCATGGCGATGTGGTTAGGGCGCTCGACCCGCAATCTGCGAGTAGTGGGTTTGAATCCCCGTCCCACTAACCATGCTCGCCCTTTCAGCCGAGGGGGCGTTATAATGTGGCGATGCCTTCCCTTTAGTCTTTCACTGCTAAATTAGGGACGACTAGCGCAGATAGCCCTCGTGTAGCTTTTGGCGAAATTCAAAACAAACTAAATTGTTTCTCACACTTAAACGAACAAAAACATTCCATTGATAAATTGATATAACAAGTTGAAAAAATATTATTGATGGAACTTAATATCTCTATCATGAGCGAGCTGCCATTCTCTGATAGATTTTTTTACTATTAAATTGCACCTATTTGGGGCGATTTATTTCCCCCAAAGCGGGCGAAAACCCGCCTCAGGGGCTCACGTGCTTTAAGTATTCGCACCACTATACAGTAGTGTGTTGTCTGTCAGTCAGTCATTAGACACTAAAATGACGTCAGTCAGTCATTAGACACTAAAATGACGTCACATAAGGGACCGTTAACGTTGCAGTTTGTACTGTCGTGATGTCAGTAAAACGTGCGCACGCCATCAATCACGAGAAGAATTATGCTACAACACAGCATGACGTATGAATTTCAAAAGCAAGAAATAAAAATATTTGTTACTCTTAATTTTGGTTTT